TCGGCAATTAAAGCATCCATACACCTACGGTGACAACTTACGGTAAGTAAAGCATCCATACACCTACGGTGACAACGTACGGTAATTAAAGCATCCATACACCTACGGTGACAACTTACGGCAATTAAAGCATCCATACACCTACGGTGACAACTTTCGGCAATTAAAGCACCCTTACACCTACGGTGACAACTTACGGCAATTAAAGCACCCTTACACCTACGGTGACAACTTACGGTAATTAAAGCATCCATACACCTACGGTGACAACTTACGGCAATTAAAGCATCCATACACCTACGGTGACAACTTTCGGCAATTAAAGCACCCTTACACCTACGGTGACAACTTACGGCAATTAAAGCACCCTTACACCTACGGTGACAACTTATGGTAATTAAAGCATCCATACACCTACGGTGATAACCTACGGCAATTAAAGCACCCATACACCTACGGTGACAACTTACGGTAATTAAAGCACCCATACACCTACGGTGACAACTTACGGTAATTAAAGCACCCTTACAGCAACGGTGGGTAAAAGTAACTAGGCAAGATTGCGTGGAAAACACATATTACGACTTCCTCTTGCATCACGAGAAGAAACTGTTAAGTTACGTGGCCTTCGGGGTTTCACAGTGCGTTGAGCCAGCATCATGCAGTTTAGAGTGAGTGAGTGAGCGAGTGAGTTTTACGCCGGTTTTTAGCAATATTCCCGCAATATCACGACGGGAGACACCAGAAATGGGTTTCACACACTGTACCCATGTGGGCATGCGGATAGTAGATTGTCTTAGGAGAAGTATAAGTATATCCAGCACAAGTGTCACTATCTTTATTGGAAAAACATATTGAAGAATTTTGAAGGCGGCTTAATAAATACGGGAGCGAATACACTGACTGTGATGTATCTTTAAGCGACTTTTATTGACACTTTAAACTTATACACAGTGATTATGATTTTATCAATGATTGTAGACGTAACGATCACGGTTAGAATTGGTCTTCGGCAAGTCAGAAGAAACGACTAACAGGATCGGGTAGTCAGGCTCGCTGACTTGGTTGACACATGTCCTCGTATCTCAAATGCGTAAATCGATGCTCATGCTGTTGATCACTGGATTGTCAAGTTTACTTGAATTTAGAAAACGCCGAATTATATGGATGTAACGAAAGTGTACATTGGGTCCTTGGGTACCATGAAGACGTATTCTGCTAAGTTTCCCTCTCTAAGGCTGTAGGGTACGCAGTACATATATGAACGCGAAGGACATGAAAATATCAACTTTAAACTAGTCAGGTCGCACAATGAGATAAATATGCTATTGGGGGCAATCGGATCTTAAATAAAGAGATGCATCTGAAATGCATTGGTTAAAGGGAGGTAACTCGGTTCGCTTGCGTTGTCTGCTTTTTGCTCTCAGTGAAACTGCCAACATGCATCTGAAATTACACTTCGAGAGTGATCCGTATGTTCAAAGTCTCACGGGGAAAAATCATTTATTTTTCAATATCAACCCAATTCCACAAATGACTCATTGTCTGGTAGCTATGGCTACGATTGATTTGTGCATACTGATGCTCAAAAGTGCAGCATAATATGTTCCGTGTATTTCGAAAGAGAACGAAGTATGATAATACAGTGAGCTTCCCTCAACACAGATGCCATAACATTTCTACTTTTTGACATGCCCGTGATGTCAAATGCATCGACTGTGCTGATTGCTGTAGGGGCCTTGGTGTATCCATTGTCTTTGCAAGAACCTTTCTGGATCAGATTCAAACATAAAGACTATAGCTAGATTATCACAGGCCCTAATATTTCCACTTTTTAACATGCCCGCGATGTCAAATATATTTGTCATTCCCTTCCCCATACCCCCAAAAATAAACCTAAGGGACCGTTCATAATTTATGGCTAGGGGGGGTGATAATGATTTTTATGGAGAAGCATGTACAATGTGAATGCCCCCACCCCCAATTTATGTGCAAAATAAGTGACCCCCCTTCCCATAATTTTTAAGCATAATTTTAAACATAGTTTTATGTACAAAATTTATGACCCCCCAGCTCCCCAGAACAAAATGGGTGGGAAACACACACACACACACACACACACACACACACAAAAAAATCATAGCCATAAATTATGAACGGTCCCTAAACTGTGCTGTGATTAAGTGCTGGACGCTTACCATTTTCATCTAACCATCAACCTCAGGTTAGTCGTGAATATATATCATAGTCAGGGCCAATCAGGGTTAAAGGATCACAGCAAATTGCGGGGTTTTAGTAAAGTGAATCTATCGGATCCCTGGTTGCTGCTTTAAATGACTAAACAGTTGAACCATCTGTTACTGTTTGTGGATCTAGAGTTAAAACAAGACCAAGTTTCACTTACCTAATCTAAATCAGGTCCCAGTGATGGAATAACGTTATTCATCCACTAAGCGTGGCTTTTTGATTTGTATCTTTGGTGAGAACTGGTGAGAAGAGGATATTATTGTTAAAAAAAGAATTAACCACTGTACAATAATGGTGCGATCGGAGGTCGTCAGATTATATAACTAAGCTTACTAGCGTGTGTGTGTGTGTCTGCGTGCGTGCGTGCGTGCGTGCGTGCGTGCGTGCGTCTGATTGTACGTGTGTGAACTTGTTCAGTCTGATAGACCTAGCCCAGTCCATGCACGTGTGTGTGCGTGCGGGTACGTGTACGTTTTCATGTCTGTGTGTGCGTGCGTGTATGGCTGCCTGTACTAGTCGGAATTTGTGTCGGTCTGAAAGGCCAAGACCATTCAGATACGATGCCACGGGGGCTCATATCTCTCTGGGCAGACACTCGTAAACTGGAGAGGGTATGTTGTCTGGGTGTCAAGGAAAGAAATGTGCCCTACAATTCTGAGGGAAGAGTTGAAACGATGAAGTCGCTTCAGTAACATGTAGACTGCTAGCTTGTTTGCACAAAAACATTTAATCAGGACCGTTATATGCAGACAGTCTGAAACCATTGTTACTATCGATAGGTCAAGCTGTTTGAGGTGAGGTGAAATTGGGTTTAACGTCGTGCTTGAGAATATTTCGCTCATATGACGACGTGCATGCGTGTGTATGTGTATGTGCGGCTGCTTGTACTAGCCCAGACTGAAGCTGGTTTTATAGTGCTAGCCCACTGAGATACCACGCCGCAGTGAAGCATGAATACCCCACTCAGACACATTATACTGACTCCGAGCCGACCAGTCCTTGTTGTACCCATTAATGCCGAACGCTAGGCAGGGACCAACAAGTACCATATTTTAACGTCTTTTGGTATGACGCGGTCGGGGATCGAACCCACGACCTTCCGCTCTCCGGGCGGACGCTCTAACCACTACACCACGGAGGCGGTCTTCAAGCTGTTTGAAGAAGTTCAGAACTGATGGTTAATGGGAACAAAAGTACCTTACACTACGGTTATAACGAACTCAAAGGACCACTAATTCTAGTTCGTTACAACCGTAGTTCCACTAAAACCTACCGCAAGTGCCTGGGACAAAGGAACAGTTCGTTATGGGCGTGTTCGCTACAAGTGTTTAGTGTTTGATGGAGAAGAGTCAGCGCTTTCATAGAAATTCAGACGCATGTTAAATGAACCCTCGAATGAGTTAGTGAGCGAGTAGGTTGGGTTAACACCGGTTTGAACTGTATTAGAGTTGTATAACGGTGTGTCTGCTTCGTGTGGGGACATGTCCATAATCATGCACGTAAAACCAAAGAAACGGGCATGGCGCTGACACACCTGGAACCAGGGCCTCGATTTTCGAAGCTCTCTTAGCGCTAAGATAGTCATAAGTGCCATACATTAACATTAACTTACGACTATCTTAGCGCTAAGAGAGCTTCGAAAATCTAGGCCCTGGATCTTAGTCTACGATCATAGGTTCCAGGCGTACCCAAGGGAAGCAACTCTGCACGGCGAGTTATAGGACCTGGGGCGACTGTGCCATCTGGGCTCCCGAACCCCTTGAACTTGTCCTGAGCATCGCAGCTACGCAAACATTACGAGTGGAAATTCTCACTGTGGATAAACAGTGATAAAGGAGTAAGGTATATTCTCCGAAACGCTGTGTCCTCACAGTAAAAGAAGTTGACATCCATAAAACTCTCTTCCCTAATTTTACGTCAAACTATCAAATGAATACACCGTAATTTATTTGCAGTGATAGAAATAGTGACACGGAGATAACAGGTAGTGACCCACATACCAAATGAGAGTTCTGACATTGAGGTCAAGATTACATCGAACTGCTGCTGATAGACGTGTTCTTGAAGACTTTACACGGATTGACACTGATTATGCCATTGTCAGTTTACATTAAATCGAGGCTACAGATAACATGGTTGTGATAGTATGCTTCACAGATTTCGAACCATATAAATAGTTGTACACAGAATGCATGAAACTATAATCGGATCATAGATTTTCGGACGTGACATGTTTTCGAGCGACAGTGTTTACTCGCGCTATAACGAGTCGGATTGGGTCAAACATTGTAAATGTAGCAGACATCCGACTTTAGATCAGAAGGTCCGTGGTTCCTACCACGGGATATTTTTACCGGTGAAACTGCGCTGTATCGAGACGGGTTGGGTCAAACATTGTAAATTTGGCATACATCCGACTTCAGATCAGAAGGTCCGTGGTTCCTACCACGGGATATGTTTACCGTGAAACTGCGCTGTATCGAGACGGGTTGGGTCAAACATTGTAAATACTCGAATGATATTTAAGATATAGTTGCCTCTAATAAGTCAGTGACATGTTTTACAACTGTTCGTGTGATAATCGAGACAACAGATGTTCTTAAGCCTGCGGAAACTCATAACACGATACTAATGTTAATAACTGAAGCATGAGAACTGATACACGCCCTGGATGACACATTTAACAGTATTGGATAATATAGACAGCTGACATACGGATAACTCAAGCATCCGCCAAATAAAAGCATCATTACCTTTCAATGAACATTCTTCATCTTCCTAATTCCAACGCATTATTTCCATTAAACCGACATATCCCATATAGTCAGGGGAGGACTGTGAACTACGTCCGAGAGGATCTTAAACCTCCCTGTAATAATTTCTGAGATAAGATATGTCGCGGCGCTGAGATCCGGGTGTGTTGTGAAGGAGGTCACACTCTCATCCAGCGATAATATATGAGACTGGGTGGGGCTGTACAGAGTGATCTCAGCGCTAGGTTATCGTAACTCGCGGCCAGGCTGGGTTGCGCAAGGCCTCACAGGTGAGGTCTTATCTTGAGCAGTAACAGGAACACATAACTAGGACATGCTGCTCAAAGCACTACTGGAGAAAGAGAGTGAGTGAGAGAGTTTAGTTTTACGCCGCACTCAGCAATATTCCAGCTATGTGGAGGCGGTCTGTAAATAATCGATTCTGGACCAGACAATCCAGTGATCAACAACATGAGCATCGATCTACGCAATTGGGATACTATGACATGTGTCAACCAAGTCAGCGAGCCTGACCACCCGATCCCGTTAGTCACCTCTTACGACAAACATGGGTTCCTCAAGACCAGTTCTAACCAGGATCTTTGAAGTTTGTATATGTTATCATTAAAAATAGTCACATTGCGACATTTTAATAATGGTTTTATTTTGATGTTAACATTCATACCGTTCCTGGAGAAATATGATATTGGTAGAATGAATATATACAACATAACCGAGGATTTCCTTGAGTTTATGAACCGAGGCGATGCTGTCAAAATTGTTTTTATATCTTCAGAAAACTGATGAACAAGTTAACTGCTAGGCATGAGGAAGTATACGCCTATGCTAGATAGCGGTTGATACTGTTACCTCTATGAAGTGTTCTATATACAAGTCGAGGAAATCGAAGATATGGTTTTTCGATCGGCGGGCATTTGATAGGGGTATCATGGCAAAGTTACATGCATCAGACCTCGCAACAGGTGTTTACAGTCTAGTTATGTTTTGTCTAAAGCCAGTTTTCAAATATATGGTTTCTTTCGTACGTCAGTTTTCTATCAGTTAGTAGATGACATGAAGCCTTACTAATATGAATAAAGAACTAAGAATATATACAGGTTAAACGTGACTATTATAGTTCCGGAACAGGGTTAAACTGAACAATAACTTAAAAAGTGATCGAAACAATGTGTTTTTGAGTTGGCGGTATATGGACACATAGGGCATATAAACGACAGATGTTTTGATTTTATCAGTATGTTGATACATAGTGGATATAAACTCCAGATGTATTTAGCTAGCGTTATATTGATACATAGTGGATATAAACACCAGATGTATTCAGCTAACGTTATATTGATACAAAGTGAATATAAACTCCAGATGTATTTAGGTAGCGTTATATTGATACATAGTGAATATGAACTCCAGAAGTATTCAGTTAGAGGTATATTGATACACAGTGAATATAAACTCCAGATGTATTCAGTCAGCGTCATATTGATACATAGTGAATATAAACTCAAGATGTTTTTTTAATTAGCGGTATATTAATACATAGTGAATATAAACTACAGATGTATTTTAGCTAGCGTTATATTGATACATAGTGAACATAAACTCAAGATGTTTTTTAATTAGCGGTATATTAATACATAGTGAATATAATCTCCAGATGTATTTTAGCTAGCGTTATATTGATACATGGTGAATATTAACTCCAGATGTATTTAGTTAGCGTTATCTTGATACATAGTGAATATAAACTCCAGATGTATTTTAGCTAGCGTTTTATTGATACATAGTGAATATAAACTCCAGATGTATTTTAATTAGCGGTATATTGATACATAGTGAATATTAACTCCAAATGTATTCAGTTAGCGTTATATTGATACATAGTGAATATAAACTCCAGATGTATTTAAATTAGCGGTATATTGATACATAGTGAATATTAACTCCAGATGTATTCAGTTAGCGTTATATTAATACATAGTGAATATAAACTCCAGATGTATTTTAATTAGCGTTATATTGATACATAGTGAATATAATAAACTCCAGATGTATTTTGTTAGCGTTAAATTGATACATAGTGAATATAAACTCCAGATGTATTTAATTAGCGTTATATTGATACATAGTGAATATAAACTCCAGATGTATTTTAATTAGCAGTATATTGATACATAGTGAATATTAACTCCAGATGTATTCAGTTAGCGTTATATTGATACATAGTGAATATTAACTCCAGATGTATTCAGTTAGCGTTAAATTGATACAAAGTGAATATAAACTCCAGATGTATTTTAATTAGCAGTATATTGATACATAGTGAATATTAACTCCAGATGTATTCAGTTAGCGTTATATTGATACATAGTGAATATTAACTCCAGATGTATTCAGTTAGCGTTATATTGATACATAGTTAATATAAACTCCAGATGTATTTAAATTAGCGTTATATTGATACATAGTGAATATAATAAACTCCAGATGTATTTAGTTAGCGTTAAATTGATACATAGTGAAAATAAACTCCAGATGAATGTAGTTAGCATTATATTGATACATAATGGATATAAACTCCAGATGTATTCAGTTAGAGGTATAATTGACATATAGTGAATATAAACTCCAGATGTATTTTAGGTAGCGTCATATTGATACATAGTGAATACAACGGCAGGTGTAGTTTTGGTTTATTTTTAGCGTTATATTGATATAGAGTACATAAATGACACGAAAGGTGTATTAACTAAATTGGATTGAAGTCACTGGAATATTTACAGCCCGCCGTCAAATTGCTGGAATATTGAGCGCGACATCAAGCAACAATCTAACCACAATGAGGTTAACAAGGCAGCCTATATGTAGATACACATGCAGAACGATTCTAGGAACACTTTCACAAACACGAGCGTAACCCCCATAGTGTAACAGTGGTATCTCTCCGGTCGCCTTGTCGAATACCGCTATACGTGCAAAGGCAAGTGTCGAGGTTTTGACATACTGTGCAGGTATGAATGTTCACCTGCCATATACATTCACTTCTGGCGATTCCAAAATGTTGAGAGGATGAGTGTGAAGCGTTCATAAAATACACACAGAATTCATAAAGAATATAGATCCGAGCATTCCATCAACAGCAGAGAATGAGTGAGTTTTAGGTTTGCGCCGCTTTTAGCAATCTTCAGCAATATCAGGGCGGGGGACATCAGAAATGGGCTTCACACATTGTATCCATGTGGGGAATCGAACCCGGATCTTCAGCGTGACGAGCGAACACTTTAACCACCGCCCCAACAGAGAGAGAGAATAATGTCAACTTTTATTTATGAAAGAACACAACACCCAATTAAGAATAAGCACATAGTCCGAAGATATGTGTTCTGCATAATAAAGAAGTTGACATCCATAAATTCTCTTTATTAACGGTTGTGTTATAAAAGTGATCAGGTTGTAAGATGAATACAAATGAATACATGTGGGTAAGTACAATGACAGTATAAAACAGCATTTGTAATAAGAGTAATATTAGTGATAATAATATTCATTACGCTGCAATCATGTCTTCTGTGATTGGCAGTCTAGAAGTTGGGTAGATGAAGAATGAGGACTATTTTTATGGATATACAACTTCTTTATTCTGTATAGGCGACGTTTCGACATAGATTCTATTGTGGTATATCAAAAGTAATTTCGGGTGATATATATACATGAGATGTTTGGACAATAGAAGAGGGATGAGGCGAAAATGAATTGTTTATACAATAGGAGAGTTTGATAACAGATGGTACACTGGACTGCAATGGTGATCAAGCTTCCAAATAGGCCAGGGCTGGATATCCAGGGTGATCTTCACACACCTGCTGGCCTTCATGTAACATGAGAGTACAGACGTGCACTTGCCCACTTATGTAATCACAATACCTTCTAGAAAGACCTGACTCGTTAAGATCCGGGTTAGAATTGATCTTCAGTAACCCATGCTTGTCATAAGAGGCGACTCACGGGATCGGCAGGTCAGGCTCGCTGTCTAGGTTGACACATGTCATCGTATCCTAATTGCTCATGCTTTTGATCACTGGTTTGTCTGGTCCAGACTCGATTACATGTATTTACAGACCGCCTGCACATAACTGGAATATTGCTGAGTGCGGCGCAAAACTAAACTCACTCACTCTAGAAAGACCTACACCAGACGGGATTAGTCGATAGCTGTTTCAGAAGATTCTACATTACACTTGGTTCCAAGGGCATCAAACATACCTTCCACACCACTGCTTACAGCAGATAGTAATACATTCCTGAAAACTAATTATTGGTAAAACATAATGTTAGGAACTTCTATAGAATCCAAATAGAAATAATGTAATAAAATTATAACATTGTTAAACAATAAATTTCATTGTCATATAAAATTTGTTGTTTCACACGGCATTCATGCGGCGGTCATAAAATACGAAACAACCCAGTGATCAGATGTATTCAGTTAGCGTTATATTGATACATAGTGAATATAAACTCCAAATGTATTTTAATGAGCGGTATATTGATACATAGTGAATATTAGCTCCAGATGTATTCAGTTAGCGTTATATTGATACATAGTGAATATAAACTCCAGATGTATTCAGTTAGCGTTATATTGATACATAGTGGATATAAACTCTAGATGTATTTTACTTAGCGTTATATTGATACATAGTGAATATAAACTCCAGATGTATTTTAATTAGCGTTATATTGATACATAGTGAATATAAACTCCAGATGTATTTTAATTAGCGGTATATTGATACATAGTGAATATTAAATCCAAATGTATTCAGTAAGCGTTATATTGATACATAGTGAATATAAACTCCAGATGTATTTAAATTAGCGTTATATTGATACATAGTGAATATAATAAACTCCAGATGTATTTAGTTAGCGTTAAATTGATACATAGTGAAAATAAACTCCAGATGAATGTAGTTAGCATTATATTGATACATAATGGATATAAACTCCAGATGTATTCAGTTAGAGGTATAATTGACATATAGTGAATATAAACTCCAGATGTATTTTAGGTAGCGTCATATTGATACATAGTGAATACAACGGCAGGTGTAGTTTTGGTTTATTTTTAGCGTTATATTGATATAGAGTACATAAATGACACGA